GGTGACTGACAGAGCTGGCTTTAGGTTGAGGCTTTCAAATGTGTTTTGGCAAGTCTGCCTCTGGAACACCCTGGCATCCTCTGGCTCCCGAGGAGGTGACAGAAGCCATTTTACTGAGCCGATGTCTGGAGTTGTTTGTCAAAGCGTGTGGGGAACAGAGGTTTCCACAGCCCATGCCTGACTGAGTCAAAATTAGGCAAAGGACTTTGCAAAGCAGTAAATTAGACAGCTGTGCCTGCACTTCGCATCGTGCACCTGCAACAAAGTGGAGCTCAGCTTGCTTGACTTGAGATCAGATAATTTTAGAGTACTGTTTTAACTAACAGAGCCAACATCCTAGCATGGTAATTACTTTGATCCTGGTTGGCACAAATGTATTTTTCATCTATTATTGCTTAATACTGGAACCTTTCTTTTTTTTTTCTTCCTCTGGTATCCGATGATGGCCTAATGAAAATTATTTTTTCCCCTACTTCATTAAATGCTAAAGGGCAATTCAATTTTCTCCGTAGCTTTCCCTCTCTCTTTAGATTTTCTTAATGTACTGCTCTGGCTAGCCTGATACGTTGTTCTTGTAATGATTATATCAAGGTCTTTTCAGCATAAAACTTAAGCTCATTGTGTAGCACAAGTCCACGTCTGGCGATGCGCAGAGCCCACACTCCCGCTGGGGCTGGGGCCAGCACGGGCTGGGCGGTGGGAGGGGGCTGCAGGAGCGTGCTTAACTGGGCACGCAGCCCTCCCCGCCACTGAAAGGTGTCAAAACCGTATTTATCAGCAAAGGAATCTGTTGACTTTTGCCCCTCCTGTTTCTGCGGAGCGGAGAGCCGCTGTTCGGGCTGTGGAAAGGAGCATCGGCTGCCGGGCGGCCGCTCCCAGCCCAGCCCCGCTGCCGCCCGGTCCGGCCCAGTGCGCCGAGCTCCGGGGCTGCCGGGAGCTCTCTGCCCGCGGAACCTCTCCAAACCCGCCACCGTTTCGAGCACCTCAGGGTTTTGCTGTTCTGCCTCGTGAATGGATGAATTTCTGCCTCCCGGCTCACCTGCAGTATGCCCGTCGTTGGCGAATATTCATTAAGTGAAATTGGCATCTATTAGGTCTTAATTAACGTGTAACAGGCTTGTTTTGTGGTAATGAGGTGTATGCTCTAGATGCGCCTTGGGGTGGATCCCCCTGCAGCCATCCCCAAGCAGGGTCCGACCCCTCTGGCAGGGACACGGGGGGGGGGGGGGGCTGGACCCCTTCTTGTCCCCATAGCTGCGAGGTTACCACTGTGAGGAGGTGTCTGTGCGCTACGCTCAGGTTTGCAGAGTTCCCTGAGGTGATGGTAGCAACGCCCCGTGCCACTGCAGCGGTCTGATGTTTGGTGTCGGAGGTTTATCTGGTGTCGGATGCTCGGGGGCGGGGCTGTTTGGGCACTTGGGGCACACACTGGCGTTTCGTTCCTCGGCTGGGTGAGTGCAGCCCTTTGCATTGGGTTTCATGGGCTGTCCCGCTGCTGTGGGACGTGGATGGGCTTTACCTGAATGTCCCTTTGAATTTGCTTAGAAACTGATAGGGTGGGACTGACCACTGCCAAGCTCAGAGCCAGCGGTAGGATGGAGGAGGGGGTTGCACAGCACACTAATGGGAGCTGACCTGAGCAGTAACCTCTTCCCTCTCAACTCGTTTTTCAGACTTCAATTGGCTCGGCGTGGGGTGGGGGAGCAGCAAAGGCAGCGGGAGCACATCATGCTGGTGCTGGAGTGGGTGAGCATCCCCAGTGCTGGGGCCGTGGCAGGAGGGAGCCCGGGGTCCCGAGGAGGGGAGAGGCGTCGCGCAAGAGCTGCTGGCAGCAGTGGTGCTCCTCAAATCCATTCCCTCCGTTAGGGCTCACTGCCGTCCTTAAACACACACAAGCAGCATGGGGAAAATGACTGACTTTACAGGTGAAAAGAGAAGAAGTAATTACAGGTGAGTGTGGAGCAAACGGTGAAAAGCAGAGCTGGAGCTGCCCTGAGGCCGGCCGGGACAGCCCTGACGGGGCCGCGCTCCCTGCCCAGCAGCTCTGAGGTTCCACGGAGCCGGCCAGGAACACCCATCCCAGTTTCTTTCCACCTGGTTCATTTTTGCCTTTCCAGGGCTGGCGGTGGTTAGTGGGAATAACTGGTTCTGTGTGGGAAGGGTAGAGGCCCCAGAGCCGTCAGGAAACCCCTCACCCCACTGCAGTGACGACTGCAATGAGGAGCTGCAAGTCAATGCAGCTCATGGATGTGTTTTTCAGGAGCACTTGTGATCAGGGTTGTACAAAGGCTCAGTGCATAATGCCTTTGTCAAAGGTGAGCAAATTATTAAAAAATTTCCATTTAGCCATTATTGACCTTTTTCAGACAAGGCACAGAACAGGTCTTGAAGCAAGTCTACAAATTAAATGTAGCCACACAGCTCACAGGCTGAAACACTCCATCATTGACAAGGAAGAGTTGAGGAAGGGCTTTCTGACTTCTGTTTTTCCACTGGTTTCTGTAAATTATATGCGTTGTGTTTGTGGTTGCAAGAAAGAGGGAGGAATGGAGAGCAGGGCAGTGGCTATCAGTGGTGCAGCTCTTTACCATTTTGCTGCTGTGAGCTTTCAAACCCCCTTCCCCCAGGCTCTGCTCCCAGGCTCTGACCTGGCTCTTCCCCCTCCCCAATCCCTTCTCCCTCTCCGCTGCCAGAAATGCCATGAGCCCTGAGGAGGCAATATGGGTTTCGGGGCCCCTGGTTTTCGTGCGTGAGACCAGGGGCTGTTTTACTGGTCCAAAGCTGCAGAGCTAAATGATGCTTTTCTTGATTTGGGTGATGTTACTAATCTGCATGAGTTGGAAATGATAATTACATTTTAGTGGGAAGATGGATGCTTCCCAATGACATTTAAATCCATGACTATTGCAGCGGTTTGGTCAGGGAACAGTTGTTCTCAACGCCAGCTCTTCCCCTTCGTCACAGATTGCTGCGTTTGGGCAGGCCTCCAGCTGAAAAAACGAAAAATCGAGCCACGCGCTAGATGAATCAGGAAATAAATGAAATTCTACTCAGGGGTTCCCACCAGCGACAGGCTATGCAAGTGAAGGACCGTGTTCCCCAAAAGCCTCGGCGTGTGCGTGCCCGAGCCCCCCTGCGCGGGGAGGCTGCCCGCCGGGCTCGGGCTAGGGGCTGGGGGGGCTGCCCGCCGGGACGGGGGCCGGTGGCACTGGCTGCACCATCTCACAGCCCAGGTCTCAGAGCAGAAAAGGTGTCTGGAGAAACTGGGGGTGCTGTAGCTGTCAATAACAGAAAAGACAATTTCCCAAACGCTGTACCTTGGAGGCTGGGGAGGCCGCACGCCTTCTGATACCCAGTTCTGAATTTTATAATGGGCTGTAGCTATCATTTTTGCTGTGGGAGAGATGTTTATTGACATAAGTAGCCAATGGTCACCTGAATGCTGCGAGATTTCTTACTTTAAAGAAGAACAAATAGTCATATTTAATTAAATGAAAGTATAAAGACTGTGATGATTACAGACTAGAATAATAAAGAGCGTTTTTCCGAGCAGCACTATTGTCTGAACATTTTGTGTAGACGTGAGGAGCATCTTGTTTTGTTTTGCTTTGTTTCGAGCTGTTGGGAAGGCGTGTGTCCCGTGGTGGGGTTGCACAGGGATGCTGGCTCCCCAACTCGCTGCTGTGGCAGGGGCTGCCTGTGCTGGGGGCTACACCAAAACCCCCAACACCGACCTTCGGTGTGACTGCCAGGATTTGACCTCTAGGATCTGGGAAAAGGCCCGTGCCAGCTGCTCGTACCCAGGATCTGTGTATTTTGCTTTTTGCTCACATTCCTCTGCCATCTACTTCCCACGTTTCATTTGCCACGATCCCACGGGGGGGTGCTGCTCCCTCTGGCAGGACCACCCTGGGGGGCAGTGCCTGTCGTGCTGGGGGGGAGATGAAGGGCTGAGGCTGGGGTAGCTGGTCTGCTGGCAGACCCGCCGGCAGGGAGGCTCCGAGCCCGGCACCGGCCCGTTTCCCCCCCCCCGGGGGTTTTTGCCGTGGGGCTGCAGGGAGATGCCTCCGTGGAGCTGTGATGGTGCCTGACCCCACAGCCAGGCTGGGATTCCATCTCCGCTGCCCAGGAGAGCTTACACCGGCCTGTCCGGGAGCACAGCCCCTGGCAGGGCGCTTGCCTGCGCGGTTCCTAATGAGGGGCAGGACGCTGCAGTTGTGTGTAATTGCGCGAAGAAAATCACTGCGGAATCCCCAGGTCTTTGGTTTTAACCTGAACGTGGAGAACAGGGAGCAAATGAGAGATTGGATTTAACAGCATGTTTGGTCCTGTCCTTTTAAAGGCAGAAGAACGATTAGGCCAGGAGCGCTCGATGGGACTCGGGCATTCCCAGGTGAGACCCCTCAGACCCTGCAGACACCTCGGGTACAGCCCGACTCCTTTGCACAGACCTTTTTTATGTGAACAAGTCTGATTCCCTCCTGTCCAGGCCGAACGGAGCCCCGTGTGTTCTGCTCAGGGTTTGGCCGTGGGTGGGTGGGTGAAGGTAGCAGCAAATCGTTACAAGCCTGAAAAGCGTGAGGGTTCCTGGGGTGATGGTTGCTCACCCCGGTCAAACCCCTGACCGCATCCTCGCGTGAGTGTTTCTCACCAAGGAGCTCGGGAGACTTTCAGACGCGCGCTGGGTGTCTCGGGGGACCCGAGCACCACGTGCATGTGGATGAAGGAGCTCCGGGGTTAGTGGAGATCAGCCCCCTCCTCCAGAGCAGGGGGGAGGCTCCGCTGGCAGCTTGCGGTGACATCCAGGAAAGCTCCCGGAGAGGTTTCCTGCCGTGCCAGTGGCTGCGTCCCTCCCGGGTCCCGCGGGTCTCGGCAGGCGGCAGCGAGCCCGCCGGTGGGTGAGCAGCCTGGTGCCGGGCTGGGGAGGGGGCGGGGGGGGGTTGCGGAGCTGTCGGAGCTGTCGGTAACCCCGCGGCGCTCTCGTCTGTTCCTCTTTGCAGGTGAGCCCTCCCGGTGGTCCTCGTCCCACTGCGACTGCTGCTGCAAGAACGGCAAAGGCGACAAGGAGGGAGAGAGCGGCACGTCGTGCAACGAGCTGTCGACGTCGAGCTGCGACAGCCAGTCGGAGGCCAGCTCCCCCCAGGAGACCGTCATCTGCGGCCCCGTCACCCGCCAGCCCAACATACAGACTCTGGACCGGCCGGCCAAGAAGGGGCCGGTGCAACTGCTGCAGCAGTCCGAGATCCGGAGGAAGAGCGACCTGCTCCGGACTCTCACCTCCGGCTCCCGGGAGTCCAACTCCAGCAAGAAAAAAGCGGTGAAGGAGAAGCTCTCCATTGAGGAGGAGCTGGAAAAATGTATCCAGGATTTCCTCAAAATCAAAATCCCAGACAGGTTTCCGGAAAGGAAACATCCCTGGCAATCCGAACTGCTGCGGAAGTACCACTTATAGGCTCAGGGCGGGGAAAGCACACGACCTTATTACCGTTAGAGCAAGAATCTAAGTGGTACGAAAATAATTCCCAATAATAATTGTTAGGTCAAAAAAAAAAAAAAAAAACCCAAACAAAAACATCCATCTCTGTAGTACTGCCTAATTTGCCTATTTCACCTTAACATTTATAGTCATAGGGTAACGATATTTTTCCAGTCGTGGAAGCACAATGACAAATGCTTTTATTTGTAAACTCCGAGTCTTACACAAGCTGAATACCTTAAGGGCACAACCACACCGGCCACAGGAGACGCTGGCGTGCGGGCGCTGGTGGGAGCGCCCGGGCTGTCTGTGGACTGCATGCCTTCTGCGTTCCCCCCGTAGTGCGTTTGTTTGGAGGGATGTCCACCGCTCAAAGAAACAAGCTATGCCATGACAGTTTACCTTAAGCATGTGTATATATATATGTGCATATATATATATGTGTGTATATATATGTCTCTGTATATATATATGTATATATATATCAATATATATTGCTTAAAGACTTTCTGGCTCTCTCCTTATAACTGCACTTTCTCAGAAAAGAGCATTTTTAAGCAGTCTGTGGATGTTCCGTTTCTTCTTCAGGTCTTTGAGGGTAGAAACCCCATCTCACTGTCTCTCTCCCCCGCTCCCCCCTCTCTCCTTCCCCCCGTTCTCTGCGACCCTGTAAATGCGTTTCAGTGGAGACCAGGGAGCACCGTGTGGGTCTTTGTTGCCGTCAGCAAAATATTCCGTTTGTTTTTGATGATCTTGTTCCCTCTGTGTCCTCCCCACACCCCTTGTGTTTCTCAAGGCTCTCCGGGGCCGGTGGGTTAAGCGCGTGGGGCTCCCGATTGGGAAGCTGGAGGGACTGTCCCGGTTGGTGCTCTGGCTGGCGGGGGAGCGATCGCTGGAGGATGGGAGCAGCTCCCTTCCAGGCACACGCTTGTTTCAAGAGAAAATGCAGACCCCAGCGGCGGTGCCCAGGGGCCCTGTCTGCAGGACGTTAGCCCCCAAACCGCGCCGCGTGCCCCGTGTTAGCCACCGCACACCGGCCCGGGAGCCACGGGAAGGGCTGGTCCTGCACTGATCAGAGCGGGGGTCCCGCAGCCTCTCCCCCCACCCCGAGAAGGGCGGCGGGTCTGTGGGGTGCAACAGGCTGTCATTGCCAGGTGGTGCGTGAGCACGGCAGCAAGGACCAGGGAGCGCCCAGGAACCGGGTGTTTGCAAGCGGTCAGGGGCGTAGGGCCAGCAAAACCTGGAGCAGGTCAGTGTCTGGGGGGGGGCTTGGCTCGGGGGGGGGGGCTCGGCTCAGGGGCGAGCTCGGGCTGCCAGGGCAGGCGAGCTGCAGAGAGTGATGGCAGGATGAATTGCTCCGGCTAATCTATCTTGGCCGTGTCTGGGAGCAAACCAGCTAGAGTATTTGAGATAAATTATTTGTTTTCTAGAGGCACAGGAGGAAGGAGGTTTTATATATATATATATATATACACACACACACATATATATATAAAAAATATACAAATATATATTTATATATGTGTATATATATATATACATATATAAAAAAAATATGAGAAATTATAGTGCTGGCAACACAAAGCACTTTGATTCTGACTTATTTAGCGTCCTGCAGGTTCGGGCTTCCCCCCTCTTAAATTTCAGAGTCTGCTGTGGGAGATGATGTCAAGTGCGCACGGGTTGTTTCTGCTGATCTTCATGCGGTTTCAGCAAGGCGGTACCTCCGTGCTTGCAGGGCTCCATCGCTCCCGCGCACCTGGGCGGGATGTTTTTGTTTTGCCAGAAGAACCGTGAGGTCTGCCCGAGCAGGCGGGCAGAGGTTCATACCCATCGCTCAGCTGCAGGCCTTGCGCAGGTGTTTATTGGTGAGGATGCACATTTTACCAGCAAGAAAGGATGGGATACTTGTGCGGAGTGATCCGTAAGCGTGAGCTGGCTGTAGGGACAGGGAAAAACCCGCCCAGCAATACATCTCCCAGGCTTTGGAGCACAGGGCTGGGATGTGGCAGCTTGGCATCATCCCTGCTGAGGTTTTATACGCGAGGAGGGTGCTATTTCTTACAGAGAGCATGCAGTGTTGGTAACGCGGAGTGAGGATTGTGAAATAGAGGGTCTGACCTGGGAAATGCTGGGCTGTGAGAAAACTCAGCACTTCTCGGGATCAGGCTCTAGAACCAATTCAGGCTTTAAGACATTCACTCACACTCGAGTTCGGATGTGGAAGCTGTGCAGCCCTCTGCTTATCTGCTTATTTTCTCATGGAAATCAGTGTTTTGCACAAGTTCCACAGATTTGGCTCCTCTTAGTTATTTGTTGGTTAGTTAATAACATTTTTCTTCTCCTACTCCGCATTTCCCACATCTTGTTCCCCAGCTCTGGCACTAAGCAAACAAAATTGGGGAACAGATAAGACTCTCCCTCGGGATTTCCAGCCGAATATACATCCCGGGATGGATCACCCCTCTTCCTTGGAAGCAGACTGCAGCTAAAACCTTGTCCTTCCCACCACTCCAGATCATTCCCTGCCTCTTTTTAATACCACAAATATTTGGGCTATAAAATACGTGTGACAGAGTTGAGGAACAAGCGCTGTGTGTGTGTGTGTGTGTGTGTGTGTGTGTTCCCAGACTGATGTTCCGGGTGCACAGGATTGCATGATGATTAATAACTGTAGAAAAATTAGACCAAATGAAATGCGCCCGAATGGGCTTGATTTATGTGGCCTTCACATCTTCAGTTTTAGATGAAATGGTTATTACTCTCCAGTGCTACGGAAATAAAGGTCTTAAACTTCAGTAATCACAGGCAGGTCAAATCTGGTAGGAAACACAACGCTTATTGCAATTTAGGATGAAGCCGAGGGGGGAGCTGGTGCCCGGGTGTGTGTGTGCACACTTGTGTGTGTGTGTGTGTGTGTGTGTTTGTTCCACAGAGCCCCAGTTCTGGTCTAACCTCCCCGGGGCAACTGTTTTACAGGGTGGTTCGGTATAAAAGGGAGTCAGGGGGCTGTGCTCCGAGGCTTTTTGCTGTTCAGACCGACTGCCGGGCTGTAGGTGCAGCGGCCTCTGCTGCAGAGGAGCCCCCCCGGGCAGTGGTGGGCGGCCCCCCGCCCTCCCCGAGGGGTTGAGCCTAACTGGGAGGCACGGCGCAGCATCGGCCCTGGCTGCTGGGGGGTCCCCGTCCCTCCCCCTTTGCCTCTCTGCACCCCCAGCACCCCGAGGCGAGCACCGCTCCCCACCAAAGAGCCACGATTCGTGGGGCCTCGTTCGGCCGCTGCCGGGGCCCGGCGTGGAGAAGCCGTGGCCAAGCGCAGACGGGCACGGGGGTGATTAAAACCTCTGTGCCACGACAGCCCCACGGTTCGGGAGAGAGCACCCAAATCTTCTCCCGTTGGCCGTGTCCTCCCACCCGGGCGTGGGATTTTTTCTTATCCCAGGAGGGTGATGCATTAACTCTGGGAGATCTCTTCCCCCAAACAGTGTCATGCACACGTACATATACATATATAGAAAAATAGAAGTACATATCCATACAAGTAGTTAGATAGATGTATACATGCGCCTTGGGACGGAAGGCACACGCGCGTGCCTTTTTGCCAAGGTTGTTCTGCCCCATCTGCAGGACGCGGCACCACTCGCTGGTAGCAGGGGCGGGAGGAATTCCTGCAACAGGGGAGCAGCAAACCTGTACCTCGAAGCGAACCCTCGGCTGGGCAGGAGGAGGAAAACCAGGCGGGTGCTCAGGCACCTTCCCCCCCTCCTGGGCTTTTCCCCGGGGCTGTGCGGGGGGGGGGGGTTGGGCTGCAGCCCCCCGCTACCTGCTGAAATGAGGCATGAGGGCAAGAAGGGGGATGGCTGCGATGTAGTGGGGGAGAAAGAAATTGGAGTAACAGATTGTCTAAAGCGTAGCTGGGGTTTGAGCTCTACAAATATTCAGCTCAATTCCACTTTGTTTCAGCGAGAGAAGCCGTGTCTATCCCTAGGACATCTTTGGTCACTTATCAGTAGCAAGCCAAAATGAAACTCAGTTAACAGAGGACTTCATTCTTTCTAAAATATCTGGGGAGAAAACTGGGCTTTGAGCTACTTTCCATGCATAACAAAGACCAAATGTAAATTCTGTTGAAACTAATTTGAAAACTTACATTGACTTCAGTGGGACTGAGACTCTACTAGAACCCCTTTTCTCAAGAAAAATGGGCACTTGCGTCAGTGAGGATGAGAGAAAGCCATTAAGCTGTAAGAAAATTCACATCCGCTTAAGTTGCTCGCAACGTTCACCGCTTCTGCGCGTGGCAAACGGGTCTGGCTGTTCAGTGATGGTCTTGCACAGCCAGGCTTTAATTGTCGTGGTCTGTTTAGCAGTCTTGCTAAAGCTTTGCTTAGCCCGCTGGGCTGAAGGCGCACCGGGTGCGGGGTGGGTGCGGGGTCAGGGGGTGACACAGCCACCCCCGCAGCCGCGGGGTGCATGTGGTGGGTGCCCCGGGCACCGCCCTGGCTGCGAGTGCTGCTGGAGCCTGGGCTCGGCTTGGCTGGGCTCAACTGGGCTGGGCTCAACTGGGCTGGGCTCAGCTCCCGTCGCAGCCGCGCACATCCCCGCTGGCCTCGGCGACCTGCGCCCGCTTACGCCCTTCATGGCCAGAAACATCAGTTCTCCAAGGGCCCAAACACCTCGAGCCAGGCACCTGAGCAGGACTCAAAGCATCAGGGGAGGCAAAGGGAGAACCTGTGAGTTTACATAGACCCATGGGGACAAAATGCTTTTATTTTTTTCCCTACATCACCTGCGCGCACCGTGTAGAGGCTTCACAGCACTCTGGTGAACACGTTTCGGGTTTTTACTTCTAGTTTTGTGAGTCCATTTATTAATTTGCTTTGCAATGCTGTGAGCTGAAGGAGAAAACACGGTTGATTTTTATTGGCAATGACCATAGCGTAACTGAGACCTTCAGCCATGTCTCACACTGCTCTCCTAGCCCTAGAAAGGCTGGAGAAAACTTTCCAACTTCTTACCCTGCCCTGAAGCCCTTTCCACCATTGCGAGTATGCACGTGGACTTGACTTTCTGAGTACTTTATGCATAAGGCCCCATGTATATCATGGTACAAAATAATTGTCCAGTCTTATGGATAGTTTATGCCCCAACGGGGTTTTGTAGATTAATAGTAAAAGAACAAAAAAAGCACTTTTAAATTATTTATATTATAAAAAAAAAAGACATTCTTTATTTTTCTTGGCATTGATGACACTTAGCTAAAAAAAATCAGTTTATAAGTACGATATTACAGATTTTAAACTATAGCAATGATAAAGCAAACGCGAGAAAGCAGAATTCAGAGTTGAGCAGACAGGACCAACCAAGGTGAAGCAGGAGGACGGCAGGGCCCAGCTGGCTGAGCGGGACTCGCTGGACTTCAGCGGGGGGTGTCGGCCCCGGCGGCCCCCCGGCCCCTTCCCTGCCGCTGCCGGCCGTGTGCCGCGCGAGAGGAGCCAGTGCTGCGCGCACAGTATTGCCCCAGGCAACGCAGGAGTTAGAGGGGGGTTTGGCGATTTTGTGATATATCCGGGGCCTTGCTCATGTTACGTTTTCGGACCTCATACAAGCACTTAATGACTTTGCTGAGGCTGAGTCAGTCTGTTGCACATTGATGTAGATTAAGTGGCACCCACTGAATTACCTCTCTACTTTCCAACGTGGTTCACTTGTACATAAGTGTAATGTCAAATTGTTTACAGGTTATTTTGTGCGTAATTGTGGAAAAAAAAAAAAAAAAAAAGTTTTAACTACAAATTTAAAGGAATCGATTTTACTGGAAGGTGTTTAAAAAAAATGAATGTGCTTAATACAGTATAGACAACATTGATTATGGTCTCACATGAATGCATGTATCTCCGTGTTGTCAGTCCCCACCAGTGAGGTTATTGGCAATATTCTGCAGTCTGTGAATAGCAAATATGCATAAACTACTGTGACTCTGACAAATATAACTCGGTAACTGTTTCTACTGTGGTATGTAAAAAAAAAAAAAAAAAAAAATGTAGCTTTTAGCCTGCTGTATTTCCCTGGTACAAACAACACCATGAAAGAAAGAGAGATGTTGGAAAAAACTAAACAAGTCATAGCTGTGACCTGTGTGGAGTCATTCGTGCAATGGCACCTGCCAGGTAGCTGTGGTCCAACTGCCAAAAAAAAATGCCTATTTATAGAGGCTGGGAGGTGGTAAATGAAGGTGTTGCTATTGCCTTCTGCTCCAGTGTCACTGCTGGCGGAAGAGATGACCTTTTGGTTAGGATGGCGATAAATGAAGAGAGCCACTCCATATTAATTGTTTCCACGTGCGGGTTAGGTGTTATCCAATACGCTGGTGAAAAGTGCAGCTATCAGTGTTGTGGCATCGGGCGGCTGAAAACTGCAGCTAATTTGTGTCTTGCCATTCAAATAAATCAGTGCATATACCCTGT